TCTAAAATTCAGAATTAATCTTAAACTCTAGGCTTATTAATAGATTTAGAAAGCATAAGCTTCTTTAATTTATATGTTTAGCTTTTAAATCCATTTTAAAAATCAAATATAAATATTAAAATAAAACACTTTGAAATTGAATTTTATTTATTTTAATATATTTTAACTGATTTTAATATATATTAATTGAATATTAATCAGATATAAATAAGATAGATCAAATTTTAACTAATTCTTGATGTATACTAATCAGCTATAAGTATACTAATTAGTTATAATTAAGATAAGTTGAATATTAACTAATTTTTGATTGATTCTTGATATTGTCAATATTAAAAATTTGCTTTAGAAAAATGATTTACAAAATCATTAGATTTAATTTTATGTAGATTATATTAAGAAAAATCTTATATTATATTATCAAAATTGATTAATGTATTGCATTAGAAAATCAAATAAATTTATCTAATTTGTAGGATTTATAAAATTCATTTATTTCTTCTATTTCTTCTGTATTTTTATATAGCCTATTTATTCTATTTATTCTGTTTCATCTGTAATTTTTTTAACATCTGTAATTTATTTTATTTATTTTTATTATTTTATTTATTATATTTAAGTATATTTTTATTAAAATATATATCTATATTTAGTTAATTTATAATGTAATAAGTTAGCTGTAATAAATTAATTTTGTATAAATAGAATAACTTTTGCTTAAGTTATAAATTAACTCTTTATGAGTTTTAGTATTATCCGCTAGTAAACATTCAGAGTCCATTTGCCTAAATAAAATAATTAATTTAAATTTACATAAAATTACTTTTTCTTTTAACATTATTCCTTATCTAAAATTTGTTGTAATATCTTACACTAACTTACTATTAAGTTTATTATTATAAGTTTGATTAAATATATCTTAAATTTTAAGATATAATAAATTGTTGAGTTGATTTAAGTGTAACAGATACCTGTAGAATTTAAAAAAAAATCTTAAGGACAGAAACTTCAACTTGAAAAAACAATTATTACAACCTTTTAATTTAAATATTAAGATAATATTATGCTAGTTCTTTTAGATCGTGAGTAAATCACCTGTAATATCAAAGTTTAATAGAAGGTTTCTTTTATACGAAAGAGTAAAATAAAGATATAAGATAAAAAAAATAAAATAAATACGATAAATTAGATAAAATGCGTATAATTAATTAATTAATAAATAAAAGACTAGTATTGCCTCTATCAGCGTATCTATATTAAATAATTTATTTCTTAAAAATTTACTATAAGACAAATTCACACACTTTCTATATCTCTTATAAAACTACTTCTATTTATATAAAAATATATTCTAATAATAATAAATCAAATAAAATAAAGAAAATAAATAAAATAATATAAATGAATAAAATAATTTAAATAAATAAATAAATTAAATAAATTAAATAATGTTAATAATAAATGATGTAATAGGGTCTATTTACATAATAAAATTAGACTACCAAAATTAAGAAATAAGAAATGCAGATTATTTATCTATCTAATTTAGCTATAATATTGTAAATCATTTTAATATTACATAAAATAAATTTTCTCCTAAATTTTATAAATCAATTTTGCATATTATTTTTAAGTATAATAATAACTAAAAATGAATTTGATGACAATATATACTAATTGTTAAGTTAATTTTTAATGATTTGTCAATTTTAGGCTAATTTTTTACATGTTTAATTTTTTATTTTGATCAGTAAATATTATAAGTTAAAAGAAGATATAATATATTAGGAAAATGAGAATTATCATTAAGTTCAAAGTGATTTTCTGATAGTATAGAAAGATCAATAAATATGAATTATACATAACTATTTATAATACGCAACTAGCTAATCTTTGTTAATTTAACAATTAAGTAAATGAATAACAGAATATTTTTTATTATTTTACGTAATATATAATTCTTCATTTCACTTTAGACTAATAAGAATTTTTGTATTCAGGTTTTAAATATTTAAGTAATTAACTATATCTTATAATACAAGAAGAATTAACTTAAAAATTAAATATTTTGAGAAGATATATAAAGCGTAAATATGTAAAAAGCCTAAAAATAATTTTTTTAAGAATTTTAGTATATAAACCTTGTATATATTATTATTTTTAAAAGAAAATATAAGATATTTTATATTTTAAATCATAAAATTTATACTAAAAACACTTAATTTATTTTTACAAATGGTATTTTTTATTAATTAGATTAATAGCTAAATATTCTTTTATATTTTGTCAAACTGAAATTTGATAGTTTGTCAATACAAATTGACCTAAAATATAATGAATTAATATTATATAATTGTGATTTTTTAAATAAAATTAGTATCTTATCATTTGAAATTACATTTTTTTTGTTAAAATAATATTGTATATTTGGAAAATTTTCAGATTTATACTAGCAAATATATGCTAGAAAATGTTTATCTAACTTGAATGGCAAATCAATTTTATAAATAAAATAATATTAGATTTGATCTAGATAACAATTGACAATATCATTATTTATAATAATTTGGCTAAAATATACAAATTTTTTACATGTTACAAAGATATTGATGAACTAAAGATTTTAGAACTAATTCAATACTTTTTAAATTAATTAATTTTGATCTGAATCATTATATCATCTTCTGAATCCTTATCAAATAGCTTCCTAAATTTTAATGTATTATTAGTTATCTTATAATATTTAATTATCAAATCAAGTATTTTGCTTTAAATAATTATATTATCAAATAATAATTTAAGAAATTTTTCAGAAAATGGTTCACTACTAATAACATTTAATTTCTTAATATTTCATGAATTCACCTAAAATCAGTAAATTACATTTAGAAGAAAATTTGTTTGTATTTGAAAAAAATCAATAAAAAGCTGATTGTTTAGCAATTTAAGCTTTTTTATCTTAATATTATACCAAAACTTGTAATACTGTCGATTTGAATATTAAACATAAATTGACATATTAGTTTAGATTCAATTTTTCTATTACTATTTGGCAATGAACCTAAAAATTATTTATAAATTAGTAAGTTGATTTATTTAAGAAATTTTTAAAATATCTAATATTTTATTCATAATATTTAAAAAAAAATACCAAAATGCATATAATGAACCATAATTTATTGAGCAATTATATAAATAAAGAGAAAGGTAAAAATTTAACATGATTTTATTATGTCTATGATTATTTTAATCAACTTTACTATTTTAATTAATCTTTAATTTTACAATCTAACTTACAAAATCCTTATGAAATATGTAAGAATCTTTTTATTTATAATCAGAAAATATTTCTAAAGTGAAATAATAATATATATAGTGAAAAATATTCATCACTAATTAATCATAAAATTAGAAAATTCTTTTTCTTCATGAATTTTACCTAAAATTTGATCTAGATCGAAAGGAATCTAAAACTTATTCATCTTTTTCTAAATCTTATTCAGGAAATTTGATGTCAAAATCCATTTATATCCAGATTCATTTTACTATTCATTATGTAATGCCTAAAAATTGGCAATGCATTAGGTTGATTATAATATTTTATAGGTTAAAATATAGCAAATGTAATAATTCAGACCATCTTATGCCACTTTGCTTTATAAATCATTTTTATAAAACTTCTGAATTGCAGCGTCTCTATTTTAAAACATTTTAATGATGCTCAATTGGATTTTGTATAATGAATCAATCATTAATATTATTCATTCCAGCAAAAATTATGCTGATGATTTTCATAATTTGCCTTTTTTTCATATCTATGACATGATACTAAGGCCAAAATATGTCCACAATTTTTCTAGCAACTGACATATCACATGAAATAAGAATTAAAGCTGCACGAATGTTCTTTCATTTAGGATGTTTATATGTTTTAGCTATTGTTAATCCATTCCAAAGAGATTCCAATTCATCTACAATTGGCACTAAATAGTGATTTATTTTATGTAAACTGACTTCACTTAGTTTGAGTAAAAAACCAAGAGTCAGTAAATTTTCATGTTTAATCATATATCAAATGGTAAATTGCATATAGCGGTATATATTACTCCAATGCTATAAATAGTACTATCATATGCTGGAACCAATTGAGATTTAGCATAAATTCAAAATGAGAATCAGTCACTTCATCTCGAAAAAATTTGCTTAATCTTCTTCAAAGGATTCTTTTAACATCTGTCACACTTCACCATCATATATCAGTCATAATGTTGTTGAAACGCTGATGATTTATCCATTATCTTAAGCTAGTTTCAAAATTAGGCCGACGATACATAGAAGCGAGTTGTTGTTGTATTTCTGAAAACGGAAAGATTAAATTAGGTTGAATTACTGTTTGATTTGTCGATACGCCGATTATTTGAGATAATGGAGTATTGCAAAAGCGTAATTTGCAAACTAACAAATTTGAGTTCTAATAGCATATTTCAAAATATTCCAAAGCATAAAGTAGTTCAATCTCGTCAAATGAGAAAGGAATTAATGCTGATTTAATTTGCGAAATTTTATAAATATGTTTTCTATCAAGGCGAAGTTCGCTTAGCGTAACTCGATCACCTAAAATAAATTACCAATGTAAGAATTTATAATATTAAAAAGAAGCTAGTAAATACATTACCAATAAATTGCATCATAAATGTGCGCAATTTTTCTGCACTCTTATCTAGATAGTATCTGAGTAGTGACACCGCCCGAACATAGCCTCCTTAATAAGCTTTTCGATATCCTCTTTAAAACGGCGTTTCCGGGACCTCCTGAAACTTCAATGCATACAATCTCTTTGTTACTTGCAACTTTCATACAGATACCGTCTGCTTTTATTTATTGTCAAATCGAAATCTGGGAACAACATCTTCACATCCTTGATAGATCAACCTGCACCTCGATCCAATCAAATATATTCTTTATAGAATGATTGGATTGCTTTGAACAAAGGGGCGATTCTATCTACGATGTATTTCCTTTCCCCAATATTGCGGTCTAATGTGTTTTCGCTGGTCATAGAGAAACTGAGTCGAAGAAGTGTGAATTAGTCTGCCATGCCAAGGAGAACATATTAGAATCCTGGGCAATATACTTATAAGTCATAAAGAATAGATTCGCAAACCTTTCGAAATTGATGATCAGGGCTCAATGGAGTCATCATAACACTCTTGAATACATCTTTTTCTGACTACGTAAGAGATAAGTAAGAGAAATCTTTAATATATATTTGCTATAACGTCTAAAAGAGATAAATTTTATTTACCGATAGTATATTTACAAGCAAATCACGAATGACGTTTGGGATTGCATCAACCTGATCAGCTTTATTATTACACATTGATTGTTAACGTTTACCGAAATATGTTTGGCCAAATATTGTATAGATTTCTCGCTAAGGATTGGCTTTGTGGAGTAGTAATAGGTATTTCACAATGTCTTAGTGGTGGTGTCTTGAAAAAAAACAAACACTACACCGGCGTAGCTCTTAACAGATTATATAAGACATGTAAACTTACGCCTTCATCATCAGATTATATGTGCGTTTCTTGATCAATTAAAATACTTGAGAGATTCATTAAGATGTGTTGTCTAAATAGGTATAGATGAGTCAATGATTGAAAATACGTGATTATTACTCTATAAAGAGCAAGATACCTCAAAAAGCTGACTTTGGGTTTGCTCACTAAATTGAGCTTCGTATCTATTTTCTCGGATAATCTTAACATGCTTCTCTAGTTGTTGATCCCGCATGTGTATATAATCCAACTAAAATACGAGAAAAGCAAGTCATGGCATATTTATGATTTGAATAACGTTCATTATAACAGTAGAATTTACTTACATCTGAAGACTCTATTTGCCATAATTTTCTCTTTCTTAGTATGTCCGTATTTTCAAAAACATTCACTTCAAACGAATTGTTTCCATTTTTAGAAGGAAGAAATATTGGTAAGAATTTTAACTTTTTCAATGAATATATTATTTATAGGGCTGAAAAACCCTTCACGTGACAATTATGAATTCACATGATATCAAATTTTTTAGTATTTAGAGAGGATCGAAAAAAATTTTGAACCATCCTCTTTGAAATTTGATATCAAGCACATAAGTACGTACAAACAAAACGTAAAAAGATGGCTCACGATCAAGTTTGGTTTTCTCGTCCTCGTCGTTATGGAAAAGGTTCTCGCGAGTGGTAAATTAAATATCTCTTTTTTTTTTTTTTTTTTTTTTTTTTTTTTTTTTTGGTTATACCAACATTCTTATTTTTATTTATAATAATAAAGCCGTGTATGCTCTCATCGTGCCGGCTTAATCCGTAAATATAACTTAAATGTTTGCCGTCAATGCTTTCGTGAATATTCCAAAGATATTGGTTTTATTAAGGTACATTTTTATAACAAGGCAACAGTTAAACAAATAAATATTATTAATCAATCTAACAAAATTTACTTCTTAATTAATAGTACCGATAAGCATTCAAATATTGTTAATTAGTAAAAAAAAGTAAATTACTATTTACAATATTTAATAAGATGTAAAAATTCAATGAATTTCTACCACTTTAATAAATTTTAAAATATTTTATTAATTTTCTAATAATAAAAAAAGCGCATTTGCAAAATTTTTGATTATGTTCGGAATTAAAAAACAAAAATATATATATATATAAATATATAAAAGAATTTTTTTACTGAAAAAGTAGACAACTTGTATTATAAGAAAGGAGAATTCAACCAATGCCAGTCGTTTCAAAGAAGAATGTAATCCTTCTTGCCCTTCGTGAATAAGTTAGGAAGAAATCATAAGAATTCTGGGACATAAATTGAAAATCATATATTAAAAACATGTGTCCAACGCATATGCTCAACAGTCTGTATATAATTTCAAACACTCACCTATCCTATTATTCGGTGTAAAAAAACTTTGTAAGACCAATTCAACAATACGATCAACGTGACCACTTGCAAACACTTGTTTCATGTTGTCAGTATCCTTTATATCGTTCCAATGTTTTACGGCGAAATCTTGACCAGCATCTTTTAATCGGTCATCATAATATTTCCAACCCAACATTAAGATTTGATCCCAATTTTCATGATTCATCAGTTTAATGATCCTTTTGGCAGCCATTCGACCAAGTTGTTCTAAGCTAAGCATATCAGCCTTAGAATAAATCTCCCTTAAAAGCTCAAATGTTAATCCCTCTTCCAGTTTTCCGGTGTAAAGATGATGGACAATACATCGAAACGCGTCAAATGGCATATCTTTAATGGAGATGGTTTTCATATGACCTTCCAACCATTCTCCTTCCAACATTTTTTCAAAGTATGTTGATCGAGCTGTAAGGATAACTCTATGAGCTTTCATGTTTGAACCACAATCAAATACGAATTCAACATCACAAAATCTATCCACTCCAAAATACCTCTCAAAGGACATAAGTGAAACATTATTTATGTCCATTGAACTCGAACCTTCTCCAGAAGTGATGGCATCTTCAAAGATTTGAGCTCGAACTATTAAATCTACTTCAGCATCATTTGGGAATATTTCTCTAAGAGGAACTATCCTCGCAAATCCATAATCCGCCTTTACTCCGTTGAATTCAAATTTCGTCTCCAAGGTATGACGGTCTATTACAAGTATAGGTGATTGCTTTGTGGTTGGAATATTTAAATCTCGATAAAGTGATAATTGAAATTTCGTGTGCCTTCCCGTTATATTATTTTGTTTCTCATAATGTGTCTGAATTGATTCAAGATAAAGAGAAATGAAATCATTTGATATCTTATCTACACCATTAGGAAACAGTTTTAGCCTCCATAAATATCCCGTATTATTGTAAGAGTTATTTTGTTCATTAATGACACTGATGTCACTTGATTTTACACTTTGACCCCTTGGTGACCAAAATCTTTCACTATAGAAAAAACTACCATTTGGGTGTCTAGCCACTAGCTCGTTAAAGCAACTTATTTTCCATGTGAAGGTAAAGTGATTTCCTTCCATAACTGAATTCTTTTAAGCCTTAAGAATAATTTGTTAAATACAAAACTTGTAAAATCGTGGCTTTTTTACTGGGATCATATGACAAGATTATAAAACGCGTTAAGAATTTTTTACTTGTAGGATTTTTATTATAGAAATTTAGTAAAAAGTTGTCTTTTTGCAACTACATACTGTACCTTCTATCAAAAAGATATATTGTATATATTAATTAGATAAAAGGGATGTTTTAGAAAATGTGAATTTTGATTGATTGGCTGAATAAGCCACTTATGTTGACTTATTTTCAGCCTCCCACATAAATTGAGATTTTATTTTGAACGTGACATTTTTTAACTTTAATTGTAAAATAAAAGAACTTTCATAGATATGATGAATTATAGAATTTAATTTAAATCAAGTATAAAATTTATTATATTCAACTTAATGTAACAAAACAATAATAATAATAAAAAAAAAAGGAATGCATTCTAATAAAAACTATTGGATATTCCTTTTTGTAAACTATCTTCTATTGCTAATGGATTTTTTAAATATAAGAACTTTTTTTTTTAATTCCACATGGCCGAATTGACCCCGTGGGCAAGGAGATTAAACTATCAAATGTCCACCTTGCCCAAGGGGACAATTCGACCTTGATAAACCACAAAAAGAATTTTGGACTCCGAGATTTACTTTTGGAATCTCACTTATGGAAGCGTGCGTTATTGGTGGAGTAAATCATGTTGAGGTTTTTGTTTAGATGTGTTCTAATCTTAATTAATCTCCACAATTTTTAATGTGTACTTAACAACAATAAATTTAAGGATTTTCTATAAAAAGTTTCAATCCAGCAAGTATTTTCTCAAGAAAAAGTATTGTTTTGTCCCTCGAGATCATTAATTTAATAAGTGAAGGTGATTAAAGTTTTAGGTTACATATTATTTTAGTTTAAAGAGTAAGATTTTATTTAAATTTATTTTTTTAAGTGATTGGGTGATTTTGGAAAATAAGAATTTCATTTTTTAAACGTGAAGAGGACGGTGATTCGGGAAGAAATTTTTTTTTTTTTTTTTAAAAAAAAAATATACCGTGTATTGAAGTGGACATTTGACTGACATTTTATATAAATGTAAGAACTGATCATCTATGTGCGATTTGTTTATCATTACCAATTTTATATAAAACTATCCATCCAAAATGACAAAGTAATTAATTATGCGACAAAACGAGAACTTGGTCATTGGAAGTATCTTAGGTGTTTTATTTATTCTTATTTTCGATTTATCTAATCTTTTTTTAAATAATTCTTGTAGGTTGGAGAAAAAGTTATATTGGTTCCATATAGGCCCGAACATGTACCTAAATACCATGAATGGATGCAATCACCATTTCTTCAGGGTAAGCTTCATAAAATTCATTCGAGACGATTTTTATTTTGTAATTAATGATCCGATTTTTTTTTTTTTTTTTTGCATTGGATCAATTAGAAATGACTGCATCAGAACCATTAACACTTGAACAAGAATATGAGATGCAAAGGTCTTGGCATGTCGACGAAAACAGTATGATTCTCTTTTGATTTGTTTTTTGTTTTCATTTGATTTTTGATAAATATTTAAATATCTAATCGTTATTCCGACAGAATGCACATTTATAGTATTGGCAAAGCCGGAGATATCACATGAATTAACAAATCAAGAAATAAAATCGGCAGGTAAGTTACGTTTTTTTATTATTGAAATTAACTTTTTAAGTGTTCTAATGGTTGGTTTATTTTTTTTTGAATTTAGAAATGATTGGTGACGTGAATTTATTCTTTAATGATAATGATGATCCGAATGTCGCCGAAATTGAAATCATGATAGCAGGTAATAACAGTTTCTAATATCTTTTTTTTTTTTTTTTTTTAAAAAAAAAAAAAAAAAAAAAAAGAAAAAAAAATAATAATCTAAATTTTCATCTTTTTAAAGAACAATCATATCGTCGATTAGGTTTAGCAAAGAATGCTTTATTGTTAATGTTTCATTATGCGATAAATGAATTAAACGTAACAAGATTTTTAGCAAAGATTTCTACAAACAACCAACCATCAATACAACTATTTACAAGAAAATTCGGGTTTGTGGAAATTAGCTTTTCCAAAATTTTTAATGAACATTCTTTGGAATTGAATGTTAGTGAAGAAATTAGGAAAAAGGTTGATGATAGCACAAGAGGCAAATTTGTTACGAGAACTTACGATTGAAGAAATGTTTTTAAAATAAATATTGATCCATTGCGGTATAGCTCACGTGCGCATGTGTTTCTATTTTCGTATATCATCAATGTTAATTAGTGTGGTAAATGTTTTTAATCACGGGACATTTTTCCATCCAATCAGAACATAACTGATGAAAGTTATCATGAAGATCCAAAAAAAAATTTTTATTTCAGATTCCAGACCTTCAATTAATTAATAAAAGTGAGTTAAATAACAAAAGAAGAAATTATGCAATCCAAATTAATATATATGGTTTGATTTCTAATAAACTCGTTATGTTGCTTTTAGTTGATTCAGAAGATGGCAAACGAACTAAGTGAATTCGCTATCAAGCCTCAAAAACATACCCCGAACTTAAACACGTCGGAATGGCCTTTACTCTTAAAAGTAAGGGTTTGGTACTTTTTAGATTTGATTTTTACTTTAATATCAACGAGCATTAATTTACTAATTTTCTATATTAAAGAACTATGATAAACTTCACGTTCGTACGGGTCATTACACACCTGTTACTCAGGGATGCTCACCTCTTAAACGTGAATTAAATGATTATATAAGGTTCGTGTTCGCTTATCGAAAAAGTTCCTCTTTATTTCCAAAAATTTTACTTGGATTAAATTCGTTAAATAAATTCATTAGATATGGAATCATCAATCTCGATAAACCTGCCAATCCCTCATCACACGAGGTGGTAGCGTGGGTACGACGTATCCTCGAAGTTGAAAAGACAGGGCACAGTGGTACATTGGATCCTAAAGTAACGGGTTGTTTGATAGTTTGTGTAGATCGGGCGACTCGTTTAGTTAAATCACAACAAAGTGCAGGTATATCTCGCTCATTATTTTGATTTACAAAAAACATTTTTATTCGAGATGAATAAATAGATCTTTCTATTTTTAATAGGAAAGGAATACGTGTGCGTTGTTCGATTTCATGAGGCTCTTGAATCTGCCAAGAAGTTTGTACAAGGCTTAGAGACTCTCACTGGAGCTCTATTCCAACGACCTCCTTTGATTTCTGCTGTAAAACGTCAATTACGTATTCGTACCATTCATGAAACGAATTTGATAGAATACGATGAAAATCGTCACTTGGGTGTGTTTTGGGTAAGCTGTGAAGCTGGAACTTATATCAGAACGCTTTGCGTACATTTGGGTTTGATCCTTGGTGTCGGTGCTCATATGGCAGAACTTCGACGCGTTCGTTCCGGTGCAATGTCTGAGAATGTGAGTGATCGAAGAATTTGTGTCGCAATATTAATGATTATTATGTGAAATGATCAAAGTTTTTTTATTTTTTTTTTGTTTTTAAAAAAATTTATAGGATGATATTGTAACAATGCATGACGTTTTGGATGCCAAGTGGGTTCACAAGAATACGAAAGACGGTAATATATAAGTTATATTGTAAATGATATTAATTCCATAATTGTAAATATTCCTGCCAATTTGTTATTTCAATTAGAAACATATCTTCGAAGGGTTATTCGTCCTCTTGAATCTCTCTTGATCACCTATAAGAGAATTGTTGTTAAAGATAGCGCGGTCAATGCTATTTGTTACGGCGCTAAACTTATGATACCAGGTCTGCTTAGGTATGAGGATGGTATTGAGCTTCACGAAGAGATTGTTCTTATGACCACAAAAGGTGAAGCCGTCGCTCTCGGTATAGCATTGATGACAACTGCGGTTATGAGTTCTGTGGATCATGGTACGAATCTTTAATCGCGTATGCCTTCATTCTAATTATGATTAACAAACATTGCTAAATATGTTTATAGGAGTTGTCGCAAAAATTAAGAGAGTAATAATGGAACGAGATACGTATCCAAGAGCATGGGGGTTAGGACCCAAGGTCAATAATATTACAGCTTTTGCTGCTTAGGTTTCTTATTTTCTTATTAAAAATAAAATTAATTTAACTTCTGTTTTAATAGGCCATGGAAAAAAAGAAGCTCATTTTCGAAGGAAAATTAGATAAATATGGTCGCGTAAATGATAGTACCCCTGAATCTTGGAAGACTTCATTTGTAGACCTCAGTGCAGTTGGTACCAGGAACGATGAAGCACCAGCGAATTTAATTTCTACTACGCCGTCTACATCTGCAGGAGTTTCAACCCCTGCTACTGAGCCAGTAGAAGGTGGAACAAGTACAGCCGTGAAGGTACGTTAAAGACTTTTTTTAAAAAAAAAAATTGAATTATTAACGTTGTTTTTTGTTATGAATACAGAGGAAAGCTGAAGAAGAATCAGATGTTCCTGAAACAGAAGGAGGATCCAAATCATCGAAGAAAGAAAAGAAAGCAAAGAAGGTTAAGATTAAGGAGACAAAGGTAATTATGTTCCGTTTTTATTTTGTTGTTTATTTATTGAAATATTTATTTTATATGATTTTATTATATTCGCAACGACAGAGAAAATCAGATGAAGATAGTGATATTGAAGAAAAGACAGAAAAGATTTCAAAAAAGAAATCTAAGAAAGAAAAGAAGTCTGACGTATCTGAACGTGAAGTTGACGAAGAAGAAGAAAAGAAAGAAAAGAAGAAGTCAAAAGTGAAAAAAGAAAAGAAGGACAAAAAAAGCAAATCAAAAACCTCATAATAAAAATTATTTAATGAAATTATTTATGGTTGTTAATTAATCGTTGGGCTTCTATTATAAACTAGAATACTTTGTAATATTCGTGTAAATATCTTCAAAAACTTTTTTTTTTTTTTCAATTTCTTAACGAATATGAATTCTGATTGCTGATTGGATAGCAGATCAATTGCCTAAATTAAATAAATAGATGGAATTTTTATAATAAATAAAGTAAAATAAAATAAATTTCAAGTTTTTTTTATTGACTATAATGTTTGCTGAGCAAGATTCTCGAGGAGACGCTCCCAAGCGTGATTTGAGCAAAACTGTCAAGGCTAGTGCTGAAGACGACGATGTATCTCAGCCTGATATAAAGAGAATTCGCGTCGAGCCTTCGGCTACTAACGATCTTTATCTGGACACCGTACGTTAACTTCTACACCTTTATTTTTCAATTCCTGACCTATTTATTTATTTATTTATTTATAGATAAATCGGCATATGTTGGACTTTGACTTTGAAAAAGTCTGCTCGGTTTCTTTGTCAAACTTAAACGTATATGCGTGTTTGGTGTGTGGTAAATATTTCCAAGGTGAATAATATTTATCAAACTTTCTTGTCTCGATACATTAAATTTTCTTCAGTTGTTTGATTTATTTTTGTATCATTGTTCTTATTAGGTCGAGGACGTCAATCACACGCGTATTTTCATAGTCTACATGAGAATCACCACGTTTTCATCAATTTACATACTCTTAGGGTACGAGTTTATTTAAACGAATTCATAATCTTATAAACAATTACTAAAATTACATGTAATCTTCAATAGGTATACGTTTTACCTGACGGATACGAAGTCAATGATTCATCGTTAGATGATATTAAGGTGAGCTTAAATCTATAAAAAATTTAACAGAATAAACAAACCAATAGAGTTGAATTCTTTACATTAATTTTATGTATAGTATGTACTCCATCCAATCTTTACGAAAGAACAAGTCGCGAAATTGGATCAAAATATAAGACATTCATATGACTTAAATAACAAAAAATATTTGCCAGGTAACAACTTGGTAAATGATTTGAGAGTTTTATTTTACTTTTATTTTAAATCGTATTTTATATGATTAATTTCATTGATGATATTTGATTTGTCTGCTATATGCAGGTTTTGTAGGTCTTAACAATGTAAAAGCCAACGATTATGTTAATGTTATAATACAAGCGTTGGCGCACATTCCACCCCTTCGAGATTTCTTCATCTTGCAAAATTTTGAATCCAAGTCTCAATTGGGTAATTAATAAGCATATGTTATAAACTTGATAATTTCTTACTAAATTTAACTTTTCTAATATTATATTCTTAATCATTCATTACAGTGCAAAGGTTCAGTACTCTAGTTAGAAAAATTTGGAATCCCAGAGCATTTAAAGGCCAAGTCAGCCCACACGAGTTACTTCAAGAAATTGTTAACGCAAGCGGCAAAAAATTTAAACTTGCTGAACAAAGTGATCCTCTTGAATTTCTTTCCTGGTTTTTGAATACGTTGCATAAAGATTTAGGTGGAACGAGAAAACCAAAGTCGAGTACGTATATATAGAATAAATGATTTATTTGCATTAATGTTGATATTTACATTATCAATTTTAGGTATTATTTATAAGATATTTCAAGGTGAGGTCAAAGTTGAAGCACAATCGGTTCTTATAAAAGATGATGCTGATGAAGAAGAACGATTGTTGTTCGATCTTGACAGAGGTAAAAAAGAAAATTTTATTTAGCTATAGCTTTTAGAACACAGATGACAATCAAATTATGCGGTCATTTTTTTACGCAGGGATATGTAAATCTATTTATCATTTATATTCAGTCACTATGAATATGCTGACTATTGCAACAACCTCCATGACGTGCTATCAATCCTTTCATCTCTACCTAGAGATTTTAAGACTTTACGCGAATGACCTGTATACTTTTGTGAAAGTGGTTTTATATTTGGAGGGAAGCATAGGAACATAAAAGAGGCGGGTGAAATTAAGGTGTAAACAAAATCACAATGCCATTTGTCCCTAATTTTGTCAAAGTGTCCGCATAATTTGATCTCTCTCGATATATGATAATGTACGTATTATTTTGATTTTTAAATAATAGAAATTTCGGTCAATATATCACCTTTTCTATTTTTAACATTGGATTTGCCTGCACCTCCCCTGTTCAAGGATGGGGTTGAAAAGAACATTATCCCTCAGGTAAATTCATGACAAGTTTAACATTTTTTTATCTTTCAAAATATAATAAATAATACATCCTCTTATCTAGATTGCTTTGACAACGATACTTGCTAAATATGATGGTCGTACTTCTCAAGAATCGGTTGGAACCTTGAAAAGGTTTCAACTGACTCGTCTACCAAATTATATCGTTTTTCATATCAAACGCTTTACTAAAAATAATTGGTCTGCAGAGAAAAATCCAACAATTGTTAACTTTCCAATCAAAAATATTGACATGAGAGATTGTAAGATATTGATTTTTCGAATTTTAATATAATTAAAAAAATATATATATATATATAACTTATCAACGTTTATTTCTATTAATAAAACTTAATATAGACCTTGAGAATCCGGATGATGAAATGCTTGATACTCACTATGATTTAATCGCGAATATTTGCCATGAAGGTAGACCAGGCAAGGGTAATGGTATTTATAAAGTTCATGTTCAGCATCGTGGCAAAGATCAATGGTATCAAATTCAAGATTTAATTGTTGAGGAAATCAATGCACAAATGATTTTTTTATCCGAAAGCTATATTCAGGTAATCTTTCTCAAAAAACTTTAATCGATTCAACTTTATTGTTCATGATTGATAATATCATTATTTCATATTTTAGATATGGGAAAGAAAAGAGCATGACTTGTGTTAAAACAATTGTATTATTAATTATTAATATAAATTTTATGAAAGATATAACAATAAAAATAAAAGATCATTAAAAATAAAAAATAAATTTTTGGAAAATGTTCAAGTTTAACCCAATTAGGCTAAGTATTATCACATGACCAACCAGCCTATCACATTAATTGGCGTATTAGGGGATTTTCTTTATAAAAGCCGGTCTCCCTTTTTTTTAATAACAAAACAAAAATGAATCCACAAAGAATTCAACGTGCTGTCGCACCTTCAGGCTACTCAAACCCTCTTGTTCTTCCGCAAGGAATACAAGGAATACAAGGAATACCACCTCAATATCAGTATCGCCCAGCTCCATACCAGTCTTATGGACAATCTCAGGTTAGTTACACGACAAGCTAATACATACTCCTCGCGTCAATTCTATAGATTCTTAGTTATTAGCAGAAACTCAACGGACAGCTCAGCTTTCCCATTTTTGGCTTGCACCAGGAATATGTTTAGAATATGTGTAACATACTTCTGCGTGCATATCAATATAAAGTTATAACGTTTCTAATTTATTTATTAGTATATTCAACCACAAAGGCCAACAATGGCAAATACAAACCAACCTCGCCCGATTCTTGCTTCACAGCACGCTGGTCCTTCAACATTAGCGATAGCACCAGTACCAACAGTAATAAGAAAACGCATTAATCCCGACCCTCCTTTGAATATTGGTTCACAACAGTCAAAGTAAGTTTATTTTACTGAAAAAAGAAATCTTGAAAACTTGATCTTTGTATATTCTTTCTTTTAAAAAAAAAAATATATCATTTTAAATAGGAAAAAGAGGGCGGTTGAACGAAATATTCCCGAGAAGGTGAGAATTTTTCATAATGATAAACTTTATATTAATTCGAAATATTTATTTATTTTTATTTATTGGATTAGCTAAATGCTATTGTACCCGAGTCTCGTTTTTATACAGAACTTCAAGAATTTGAAAGGAGACTGGACACGACAATTACGAGGAAACGTCTTGAAATACAGGAAACCATTAATAAACCAATGAGGGTAATCCTTATAATATTTATACTTTTTTATTTATACATTTTTTTCTGTATTGAGATTTAATCGGAGAACTCCATTAACTTTTTTTTTGTAAATTCTGCATTAGGTTAAACGCACACTACGAGTTTTTATCTCCAATACCGCAATAAATCAAAATCCCGTACAGAGGGAAACCGATGAAAATGAACTTGAATATTGTGACGCAAATACACCGGCTTGGATACTCAGAATCGAAGGAAGGTTGCTTGACGTAAATATAAAAAATTTTTTTATTTGGTTTTCTTTTTATTTCTTTTAAATTGCTAATTACTTATTACGATTATAAATATATAAATAAATATATATATATATTATAAAAATATTTATAAACAGCTTCCAAATGCAACCAAGTCTACTAAATCGCCACCTAGAAAATTTTCCACTTTTTTTAAATCTATCATCGTTGAGTTGAATAGAGATCCTGAAATGTACCCAGATGGAAATATAATTGAGGCAAGGAACCTTTTTTCATCATTTTAAGTAATTATTAATAGATTACAAATTTTTAATTTATATTTATGTATCACAGTGGAATAAGGCTTCTTCTAATCCTGATGGATTTGATGGATTTGAGATTAAACGAAAGGGAGACACGAATCTTAAATGTAAAATATACTTCAATTTGGAGCATATACCACAAAAATATAAGTTGTCTGAGGAATTGGCGGACTTGCTAGACATACATGAAGGAACGAAACCTGGAATTATTATGGCATTATGGCAATATATTAAGGTTATTATAAAATATTAAGGTTCGAATTTATGAGGCGGATATTTAGTAAAAAAAAAAAAAATGAAAAAAAAAAATGATTTATAATTTATAATTGTAGATTAATAATTTACAAGACAATGAAGATAAGAGGTTAATTAACAATGATGCGCGTTTAGAATCTGTATGTCCAAAAAATTTTTTCTTCAAAATTCACGTTATATTTGTTTATATATTCAAATTATATTGACACGATTCTTATTCTAGCTTTTCAATTGTCCGCGGATGATTTTCCCGCAAATGCCGGAATTGCTTAATAAACATTTGCAACCTCTTGATCCTATAGTCATAGAATATACAATTCGGTATGAATTTCGAATTAATCTTTTTTTTTTTTTTTTCCTTCCTCAATGTTGAATTGTTTCTGCCTAAATTTTTTTTTAGAGTAGACAAAGATTTTCACCAATCAAGATATGCTTACGATATTGAAGTTGAATTTGACGACCCTAATAAAACGAGACTTTCTTCTATCTTTTCAAACGTTGCGAACCAAAGGGAAATACAAACCTTTGATGACAAGGTTCGCTTCTAAACATAATTTATTTAATTTTAATTAAAATTCTGACCCGCCTTTTTTGATAATATATTTAGATTGTTCAATGTGTACAAAGTATAAACAATTCGAAAACCAAACGCGACTTTTTATTAAATTTCGCGAAATCCCCCGTTGAATTTATTAATAAATGGGTGGAAAGTCAAAGTCGAGATTTAGAAGTAATTAAATTTATTTATTGCGACTCTATTAATTTTATAAGTACGTGAGATCTAACATTTATGTTTACATGTAGTTAATATTAGGTGAACATTCAGTCAATCTTGAAGATCAGAGAAGATCCAATTTTTACAAGCAAAATTGGGTCAGCGAGGCCGTCTTCCATTATTCTAACGCGTTGACTCAAAAAAAAATGCACGAATTATTAGGGTCAAGTAATGGCGGTATTAAAAATGATCCGAAAAAATAAGCGAGAATCATTAATCTTTGTTATATATTTTTTTTTGTAATTTTAATTATATATATAATTAAAAAAAAAAAATAAAATAAAATAAAATGAATAAAATAATAAAAATAAATAAATAATAAAACGCAAATATAAATAAACTCTTTATCTTAATATTCTGTATTACAATCTGTGTTCAATAATGGACTTTAAATATTTCCCAATACACTCGACAAAATGATTAAACATCACTGCATTAATCATCACTACAATATATCGTTTTATCACAAAAAAGGTGATTTTCAGTTTTTATTTCTTTTTACTTTCCTTTTCTTGTATTCCCTTTTTTATCATTATATTTCGACTCCCTTTTTCCTCTCTTCTTCTCAATACTTTCTATTTATTTATTTGCTTTTTTTTTTACAAAAGATATCCTTTTTATTTTCAAAAAGGTTTATCATTTATATATTGATTTATTTAGTAGCGTTTCGTAATTTGACAGACTGTCATCTCACCCTCACTAAGTTTCAATTTTAAATACAACTTTTAATTACAATGTCATTAATTAAAAAGATTAAATCTCAATACGAAATGTGGAAGGTAACGAAGTATACTAGACGAAGATCCGCTATGACACCAGATTTCGAACAAAAAGATCCAGATTTTTATAAACAGAATTATGTAAATGGAGTTTATTTAAATTATGCTAGTCCCGAACAACCTATTCCAAAAAGGAATAGTAGTAACGCTAGTTTCGTAAAAAAGAACCATAATAGTAAAGCTTCAAAAATGATTAGATGTAGCGAAACTTATAATTCATGTTAATAGGAAACAATGTGTTAGGTAAGGATAAATTTTACTTTTATTCTCCAGTGGTTGGATTCTATCTTCATCTATCTATACTAACAATAGACATTCATCTCTTTCTTTTGATTAGACGACCATCTTGTACGTCTCATTTTAATGGTCCCTTCTCTTCCTTCTACTAATTCAGTCAATTCATTGAACAAAATTATTTATTTCTCGCATAAATTTTTTATAAGATTCATTCATGTGAAATTTTTTTTACGTCATACACATTTTATTTGTTATCAATTTATCAATTTGCATTGTCTTTCCATTTTAATTGTACAAACAGGTTCTTTTTTTTGTCATCTATTTTCATTTATTGTTTTTAGAATGATTGGTTTTTACAATAACTTTATTTTTTGAACATTTAAAATTAATTTAATTCTTTTGTGATCTTTAATCAGGGAAAAGGGATGATAGATATTAAATACTTGTATATTATAAGGGATAATTTTGATGAGACAATTTTTTTCCTTTTTTTTTTTTTTTTTTTGTAAATAAAAAAATCAAATGATTTTTTATTTGATAAACGAATTTTCAAATCTTACGATGTCATCAAAGCTCGGGTTTATTTTTTTAATAAAAATATTTTTTTTATAAAGGGAAATTATTTGTTTCACTATTTTATCAAAATAAACAAATTCATTTTAGGTTGGATGATCTAAGATAAATTAGATAAATTACTTGCATGTGAAATTAGATTCTAACCCTAAAAATTTTTTTTCATTTTTTTCTTTTCAAATTCCTATTCTTTCTTGCATAGAATTGTCAGTATGGTAGATATAGCACTAGATTTTGCGGACGATTATCTTTTTGATGATTTATACGCGCGTTTTTACCCGCGAGTTCAAACAAATTACACCTTTAATGCTAATAATGTAATGCCTCGTGAAAATAGTTATAGGCAAATTTTATCATTATTCATTCTTACAAATTTCTTTGCATACTTTTTCTACTTTTTCTTTTCAACGTTATCATACTTTGCTGTATTTGATAAAGAATTAATGAAACACCCGAAATTTTTGAAAAATCAAATAGCGAAAGAAATAAGGTTATCTGCTATAGGTTTTCCTGTTACTAGTCTCGCTACAGTACCTTGGTTTTTTGGTGAAGTTAGAGGGTATTCTTTTTTATATGAAGATATTAATAAATATGGGTTATTTTACGCTGTATTCTCTATTTTTTGGTTTTTATTCTTTACTGATATGTGCATTTATTGGATTCATCGATGGTTGCATCATCCACTCATTTACAAGCATTTGCATAAGGTATTCTTTTTTTTTTTCATTGGATGTTCAAAAAAAAAAAGAAGTATTTAATTCTCATATTTTTGATATATATATATATTTATTTATTTATATGATAGCCTCATCATCGTTGGATCAGTTAGTGTTCTTTTTTCATTTTCATTTTTTTCTTTTGATTATTTACAAATGAGATTTGACGATTAATCACTTTCCGATTACAGTCCCAACGCCTTACGCATCTCACGCATTTCACCCCTTAGATGGATATGTTCAATCTGTTCCTTATCATCTTTTCGTATACTTGTTTCCTTTACATAAGTATATATATGTAGGGTTATTCACCTTTGTAAATCTTTGGACAATCATGATTCATGATGGTAACCGTTCATGCTTTTTTTTTTTTTTAATCAGGGAGAAAAATTTTTTTATCGTTAAAGGTTTCTTTTGATTTATTAATAATAACAAATATTTTTTTTTTTTTTAGGTAAGTTCCTTACATCCGGATCATTTATCAATGGTGCGGCACATCATGCGCTTCATCATTTATATTTTAACTATAATTATGGTCAATATTTTACCATTTGGGATAAGTTTGGTGGTAGTTATAGAAAACCTAGTGATGAACAACTTGATGATAAGAAAAGGAAGGATCAAAATATCTGGAAAAAACAATCCACAGAAGTCGATTCTTTTGATGAGAATGGAAAAGAAAAGAAATCTTAAAAAAAAAACTTAATGATTATCAAATTCTTTATATTCAAATAAAATTTATTTATTTTTCCATATCTGAAGTTTCAAATTAAGAAAAATATATGTATCTCTCTATTCTTACCTTGTTTAATCTATAGTTATTTAGTGTTCCGATCCGTGAGCCCGATTAACATTTACAATCAAGAAATTTTGATCAAACTAATTCAGGGCCATATATTATTACATAAGTAATATCAATCATTTTTAAATGTTTTATGATTTTTAAAAAAAAATAAAATAATTGGGAAACGTACTTTTTTTTTATGAATTATATAAAATTAACAAAATTAACTCAATGAAATGAAATCTATTATATAATTTAATATATTATATAATATATATAGCAGAAAAATTCAACAAGCAATTTCTCAACCCGTAACAATCTGAGTTCTCCCGCCAATGTACCAGACAATATTAGCTTGATCACTTTCCAGGTGCTTTTAATGCTTTTTCTATTCTAACTGGCTCAGCTACTGGTTCGGGTGTTGATTCTTCCATATCTAAATCTT